TAGAAACTGGAAAACCAGTTGCCATTTGCCGTCCTCGATGTTCATAGAAACAAAGTTTCTTAATTCTGTTTCACTCATGTTCGCCAGGTGCCTGGCAGCGAAAAACTCCTGCATCGTTAAGTGAATAAAACAGAATTGTTTTTTGTGTTTTAACTCGTCGTTTGGACGGTCGGGTAGACGGTGAAAGAGAGTGTTGTCTTCAATTCCGCTTACTTCGTTTTCTTCAAAGACCAGCCTTCCTTCTTTAATTCCTTCAAATGCCATTTTTTCTAGTTTCTCGAATTTCTTTTTGTCTTCAGGGGGATAATCGTCAGATTCAAAGTGTGCGCGAGTGAAATTCCTGCCGCGGGAGTCTTCGTTGTGTCTTAAGTAAATATATTTCATTGCTCTCTTGTAAATATCTGTTAATTTGGTCGGTAGGGTAAGACTTTGAGAACCATAAAACTTCACCATGTGATGAAGCAACTCGCAAATGATGAAGCAACTCGCAGGAATGTAACACAGAGAGAGGATGTTTATGTTGCCGCGGAGGTGTCGCCATATGGTTTCGCCCGCATTCTTGTCTTCTTCAGCGAATTTGTTTACGTACTTTTCCACTTGTTCGGATGAGAAGCCGAGAATCTCGAACACTTTGTCGAAAGAAACGCATTCGATGCATGGCAAAGCTGTAGGTCTTGTAGTTGTCAAAATGGCAGCTCCTTTGAGAAGTTTCCCAGTCGCCAGCTTCTCGTAAAGAGCGAAGAGGGGCATCTTCTCGTCCACGCAGTCGCCGAATTGAGGATCGTAGTTTTCATCACCAATCTTTGTGTTATGTTTATATTCATCGATTCCATCAAAGATAAGGAGAACTCGTTGGGGGTTCTTGAGGATGTAATTCCAGACTTCGTCAACCATGTGACCTGTGCGCGAATGTTCTGACAAAGTGAGCAGTTCCCTGAGGTTAAGGTCGGTTTTCCCGTTTAATCTTCTGAATTTGATGAAGAAAGCGGCATCAAAATTGATTTTAGCATCAGGTGATTCATGGAATACTTTGTTAGATGCCCAGTCTCTGAGAACTTTGGTACAGTAAAGTGTCTTTCCGATTCCAGGACGACCGACAATCAAAACGTTTTTGTTTTGGTGGTTAAGAATGTCCTCCGGCCCCCTAGGTGTTTCGTTTTTCTCACCCGATTTGGCGTAGGCTCCCAGTTGCTCCCATCTGTTTCCAGAAAAGTCATGGTTAGCTCTATCTGGAACAACGACGAGTTTTGTGTAAATCTGATCCAGAGTAAGATGTTTAGCTGGTCCTTCGCCGGGAGTACTTGATAAGGGCGACCGAAGTTGTGGAGGTTGAGTTGTCTCTTCTTTAATTTTGTTCTTTGTAGTCTCTATGAATTCCTGAAGCGGTGTTTTCTGGAGTTTCTCAGGCTCGCTTTGTATCTGTGGGATGTTCGTTTCACTGTCTGTACTTTTCTCCACCGGGTGAAGTTCATTTGGAACTGGGGTTGGTTCATGCTCTGTTCTTTCTTCTCGCTGCTTGGGTTCTTGTGGGGTGGTTGTTTCATGTTCTGTTCGTTCTTCTCGCTGCTGTGGTTCTAGTTTCAACCCGGTCGAGGTATGGTACTGATTCATGTGAGTTAAGAGAAACTTTAAATTTTCCATGAAACACTTTTCTTTCCACGCTCGTAGCAAAATATAGACGGTTTCCATCAGAATGCCAAAGACGAAAATTCCGTTCACGATTAGGACAGCGTTCATCCAGGAGTTTTTCTTAGTTGCTCGTTGATTATGACAATTGTGTAAAATCGATGAGGAGTTTTGAATGACAGTAGCTGAAGTCTTCGGCTGATTCCCTTCAGAGGTTAGATAACAAGGAAAGCTGGAGGGAAAGTCCAGAGGATAAAGTAAACGAGTTTGCAGGACCATGAAGAGAGCTCCTAAAATAATCCTCGTGAAAAGTTGACAGCAGTAAGCGATGAACAGTTTTTTTCCAGTTGATAATGGGTTCTCTTGGTCGCGCGACTGTCCCTCGAGATCACCGTTACGAGCGCTTGGCGAAAGTTGATCGACTGTGGGGCTCACTATTTGGGAGTAAAGAACACAAACAGTTCCAATGAGAAAGAAGTTAAGTGTTACAAAGCCATAGATAGGAAGATCGTATTTGTTGTACTGCTTCTCGTACAGCTCGAAACATTGTCCACGTACATGGTCAATGTTTTCAATCTTCGCTCCACTACAGCGGAAATCCAACCTGGATTCGCTTATTTCCGTGTCTGCAAAAATGCTCAGGAAGATTACACCGATCAGGATCCAAATAACAACTGCGGCATGGCTGATTTTGTTAAATGTTTTCCGCGCAAGCAATTCCTTGAGATTATCCATTGTTAGCGTTTGAATTTTCGTTCTTTTCGATTAGATGAAAAGGGCTTTATGTTGTAAGTTGAAATAATGAAAGTGTGATGGACTTCTGGTCAGTCATTGCCACATTTTTTCGTTTCCTTTTGGAAAGCTACAATTATTTTTGGCAAATTTACGGCTGTCAACCAGAAAATTGTTTGTTTTTTACCCTACTATTCAGGATGCTGATGTTGAAAACTGAAAGAGGATACTGAAATGAACACGTGCTGCTTTTGTCAAACTTTTTCTCTAAATTTAATCCAAGGATGTCGTCAAATTTATTTTAAAGAGGCGTCAAATAAGACAATTACAAATAAGGGGAAAAATTTCGATTTCTGAGGCAAACAGCTCGTTTAGTAGCGTCGCCACAAAAGAAATCCATAATTTTGACTGAGCTTTCTCCTTCACGTTCACCTTCTACCCAAGCCAAGGTAATTTACTAAGTACGAGCGCCTCCCAGTACGACTTGGTTGTTCGAATTTCATTTTATTGAATCAAGCAGTTTTCAAAATCGTATGCTTTTTCGATTGCCTTGTAAGACTGTCAGCCGTGATACAAAAGTAAAGACATTCCCGCACGAAAATGAAACGACGGATTATCAGCATCATGTTCTCTATTGTGCTGCTTTTTTTAAGACAATCAAAAATAAGGGGATGAATTTCGATTTCTGAGGCAAACAGCACGTTTGGTAGCGTCGCCACGAAAGAAATCTATAATTTTGACTGAGCTTTCTCCTTCACCTTCACCTTCTACTCAAGCCAAGGTAATTTGCTAAGTACGAGCGCCTCCCAGCACGACCTGATTGTTCGAATTTCATTTTATTGAATCAAGCAGTTTTCAAAATCGTATGCTTTTTCGATTGCCTTGTAAGACTGTCAGCCGTGATACAAAAGTAAAGACATTCCCGCACGAAAATGAAACGACGGATTATCAGCATCATGTTCTCTATTGT